AAAAAAAAAAAAAAAAGACATTACTGTGTACCTTAACAATAAGTCATACATAACAAAGAAAGTGAATTAAAAAAAACAAAAAAACAAAAAAAAAGGAAGTGAAAAAAGTTGCTTTCAGGAACTGTGACCTGTTGCAACTGAAAACTGTACAACAAGAGCTCAACTAGTGCATCAGGTGGCCCAAAGGCGACCAAAAGACATTATTGAGGGGAGCTTTGCCACATCAAACTCTAAAAGACTGTGGGATTCAGTGAGAGCTCCAGTAGGCAACATTTGAAGTGGATCAAAACCTTTCATCAAAGTTGCCCTGGAACCTAAAACGAAATGTGTTCTTGTCTTAGGACAACTTTGATGAGCTTTTTTTGATCCACTTCAAATGTTGACTACTGGTAATTAATGAATCCCAACCAAAAGCACATAACTAGATCTCATTATCCTGAAGATCAGCCACTTCTACATGCGTCACTATTTAAAATGTCCTTTAAAGATGGAGAATATAACATGACAGCGACTGCGAAAACACTACACAATATTAATACCACATGATAGCAGAAGCTGATAAATGGACTTACCGTAATGTGATATTTACGGCCGTATTTAAGTCAGCTGACCATTTGATTCCAAATGTAGCCTAAATGTACTTTTCATTCGACTCGCGAGCATTTACTTTCGGTTTTGATAAAAAAAAGCAAGTGCGTATCAGGGGCGTGTCTAAAGCAGCGCAGACTGATCAGAGTATAACATCTGCGGCACGTATATATACGACGCTGTTGGATTAGAGTGCTGTTATTAACACAGCTCTAACAGGAGAAGCGCCATTTCGCAGGCTGCAGACCACGTCTCTGTTCATTGTAAGTATTACATTATAATTATAGGCCTATAAGCTCCTTAGAGTTTGTGCTTATTGTGTTATTCAGCCGCGATGCACCTGCACCGACTAAAATAGAAATCGTTATGTTACGTTTCCTCCTGTTGTTTCAAATATTAAAGGCAAAATCACTTTCCCAAATAGTCTGCAGTAATGTGGTAAATGCTCAAATGTGGGGTTTTAATAATATTGGCGTTCTGACACTTGGGATTTTAAGAAGTAGAATAGTAAACACCTGTTTGTATTGAATAAACAAACGTTTTT